ATATGTACTGGGACATTCTTACAGCACATACCAATATGCTTATAGAAAAAAAATGTGAAACTTTTATAACAGCAATATTAGTTGTTTGGGTAAAAATACTACCTTACATTTGTTTAGTAAGGCATGTTTTATATTCTTCTTTTGAAAGTTGAAACAAGAAAAAGCAAGGGAAGTATAACATGTAAAACTCCCTAATTCCATTCCTTAGTTGTAAATGCTAATAACAGTTTAGGGTTTACTCTTCAAAACTTTTTCTAAATGTTTTTCAAACTTTCTTGTTTTACTGAAATGAGATCATTAAATATGCTTTACTATAATATGCTTTACTGTAATTAGAACATGTGCCTTGCAATCATGTTCTTTTGGGGGTCTTTTTCTTGGTCCCAACGTTTCCTCCCTTTTTATTTTTTAAATGAAGTAAATATACTTCAATAGTTAAAGATCGAATTAAATATTGAACTAATCTCGGGACCCAAAGAGTAATAAGTAGTATGATTAAAAACATAATTACATATGGTAAACAATGATATAAAAATGTAGGAATGCTCTTAAAAGGGTTAAGACTTTTAATAAATTAATCACCTAGATTTGGATCAATCATGGGTGTATGATTTTTCTTTATCCTTTGAATATCTTTGTGGAATTCTTGAATTTCAAAAGTAATATTCGAACTTTGCCAAACTCCTAATATTCTCATTTGGATTTTTTTCCCAAGTGAATTCAAGATCACTGAAATTCACAGGGTATGATGACACACATATGTATTCATACCAATAATCACAACGTAATGTCTGCCTTACTCTTACCATTTCTAAATTACTCCTAATGATAGTACTGCTTCCTCTAACATGTGTACTTTAAGCTTAAAATCCTGATCCATATTTTCTTGATCTACTAATGCCTTTTTGGTATTTCTGGCAATCTAATTTGCATATTGTTCTGTCTGTATAAAGGACTGTAGTGCAACAGCAGCCAAAGTCATAGTAGTTATCATTGTGGCAAGAGCAGTTATGCCTGTAATAAAAAGTCCAGTAAAGCATTTAGATCTAATAAGACCTTGCTGTGCTAAGTACAGTGAATGTTCTCCTGGTGAATGAAACCATCCATTTGAAATATTCACTGGTAAAGTTACCTAGTTACTATTAATGTATACTGATCAGTTGAAGTTAAACACTGAGCTAACAAACAGTTATTACAAGTTACATTCCAATAATAGTATCCTAAAGTATCATTAGTTTCAAAAATTTTTAAACAACTCATGTCAGTATTTTTAGTACAATTTTTATATCTATGTGCTAGCATTAGGGCGTTCTGGGGTCGAACACATGCTTGAATGTTGATGCGATCTCCATGGGTTTCTTGTCCAGTGGTATCACTTCCAATATAAGCAGAATGATTCACTGGGCCCACTGCTGCAAATAGTCTCCAAAGTCCTGATTGCATAGGTCCTTCTGGAACCTGTACGATATTTTCAGGAAATCCTCCAGGAAATGCATCTGGTGTCTGAGTCGAATCTGGAATATAGTTAAAGCCCCAGTCTAAAAGGTATTGTGGATCCCAATGTGACTTGGGGTTAGTGGTTAATGATAAATTTACTTTTCTGGAAAATGGTAGATGACATCTAAACCAAGGTGGATAGCCTTCCCAATACTTGGAAATATTAGAACAGTATGACACAGGGGGTTTAACCTTAGGTTGATTATTTAAATTATTGTCTGCATTATTGCCATTTGTAGAAAATTTTGATATTCCCCAATAAGCATGTTTGTTAGAATATTCTACATCTTGTAGTGGTGTGTACTAGTCCAAAGGTAATATAACCTTAAACATGTTTCTAAGTACATAAAAACTATCATTTCTGGACACCCAGCACATTTTTGGTATTAACTTTAGGCACAGTAAGGGACTATAATTATTTTGAGTAAAACAAATTGTTATTTTTGTAGTAATACCTGTATAATTCACTAAACTTTCTCCTTTTCATAATTTTCCTATGGATTCTCCACCCTTTCATCCCAGCCACTGGGTGTCATTAATAAAAACAGGAATATCAGGATTATAATATGTAGCAGGTCTCACCCAAGGTGGATGAAACAAATATGCCCAATGAGTTTCAGTTGTTACAGGAGCAATTTGAATTAACAATAATGTTACCATAGCTAAAAATATCATTTCTGGGGTCTGAGGCTGGTTTAAACCTTGAACCATACTTGTAGCCTTATGAGATAAGGCTTTAACCTGCTTCCACGTTGGCAACATCTTGTCTCTGATCTGATGACTCAGTAGCTGTCACCTCCTCCGATGATCCTACAGTAACAGCTGTTGAGGTCAGCACTGGATGTAATCCATCATGTTGGATGAGTCTCTCCGGTACCCATATGGGCTTGTCATTGTTTTCTGGAAAGACGCGAGCATACCCTCGAGCCCACATTAATAGTGAATCTGGTCTCTTCCATTGACCTGTCAGTACATCCTTCCACTGAACTCTGACTGAGTTGGTGTCTCGTTTTACTTTTAAAAAATATCTATTCGCAGCAGACTGCCCATCAGTGTCACAGTTCAAAAAATTTAAAGTATATAAGACATTATTTAATCTTTTCATAGGGCTGTTCCAATATTCCCTTGTTACTCTCCCTTTTTGTTTTTCTAAATAAAGTTTTATAGTTTGATGTTTTCTTTCTGCTATGCTTTGGCTTTGAGGGTTGTAAGGAATGTCAATAGAAAGGATGATAGCTTATATCTGCTGATATGCTTGTAAAGGATAGGTTAATTGAGTTGAGACCTCTAAAAGCTGTCCAGTATCAGAAAGCATTTCAAAAGTAATAGGAACATTATGTTGCTGATTTCTCATTCTTTGCTCTGTACAAAAATCATGAAAGTACATTTTCCACATGAAATAATCTCCTC